GTCTGGGTCTCACGTAGGACGTCAGAAAAATATGCATGGCAGGAAAACGACTTCAAGAACCAAATAAGTAAGTAAGCTGAAATTTCACACTGATGTTTACAATCCATTTGTGAGCTAAAATTTCAGGTTCAACTATCGCAGACACCTATGACATATACACACAAACAGGACAAAGTTCGCAGTTGGTGCCGTGCCGACTCCAAAACTAGCCGGAAAACAATAGCCAAAATTTTGTTAGAATATTTATCGTCCATCAGGGAAATCATGTACCTAAATCGGGTTTCGATTTCCATGTAGGCCACGATTTAGGGCATTTCAAAGATATGTTTAGCGAAATGGCTATTTCGCATACCGGACGAGCTGCGAAGCTGAAAGTTCGCAAGGATATCCTACATTCATGCATGAGCTAAATTCAGCTTGGAGGCAGAATTCTCTGCAAAAAGACATAAGAAATAACCGATTTTATCACAACTCCAAAAGGGACTGCATTTTGCTGATTTCGTAATCCTCCTGCTCCAACGTTTTACGCATTGTCAAATTTGCATTTTTATTCAATGAAGCTCCGCTCGCCGGAAAAACGACCGGTCTTCATGCAAAGTTGATAATCATGCACGTTGGAGGCTCACGTGGCCCATGATGCAACACCACCGTTCTAACCGCAATAAACATGTGTCTACGTGTTAAACTCTTGCTGTTAACGATCTGACTGCTGCAAGTTTGGCGCAAAAACGCATAAGCGTACTGGCAAGGCTGATGCACGGCCTGGGTTACTTGATGTACAAGAAGTCACTATTAAAGATAAATGTACTCGTGCTAATTTCTTGTTGGCACAACAATACTGCACTCCTGAAAGCTGTTGCTGTTCACAACAGTTTCCACTGAACAGCCAATAACTGATGCTGATCTATGGACAATTACCAAAAATGTTACGGGCGCACAGACAATCATTTTGACTATCCCCGCCGATGAATGCTGGTGACGTCACTGAGATGCCTCCATGCTTTAGGGGAAGCTTTAAATTTGACTAATTAACAAGTAAGTAGATTGGAGAACGCTACAAAAGAAAAACATTTTAGCAAATATGGAACAACAATGTATACTCTTATTACAAACGCCACACCTGAGTTACACCTGTTAAGTAGTCAAAATTCCAGCTTCCGTTGATTCGAAAGTCGAGATGTGTGGACATACATAAATTCAGCCTTTGAATAATATGCATTACTGATGCAAAAAAAAAAAAAACGCATAAAAAACACAGTGAGCTGGAGCGGTGACCGTGTGCGTGCATGACTTTTCGTCTGTCGGAGAAGACGCTACTGTGGAATTTAGGGGGATTTGCCTCCGGGCCTGTAGGGTTACAAAACCAGTTCATTTCTCCTCCTATACATAGCAGTAACCTCAATTACAAATTCATCCCAGTGTTGCAAGGAAAGCTTTGAAAAAAAGATTAATTTGCTGAGACTATGTAGCCAAATAAGGGTCATTGGCGACATGCACCAGGCGGGCCCGTGCGATCACGCGTTTTTATAGTATTTCGTACTGTAATAAGATCGCATGGAATCCCAGCAGCTAGAATTTGTGACATACTGGTCCTTTAAATTCAGGGAAATTCCTGATTTGTTGCCAGTCCACATACAAATTCCTGGTCCTCCAAATTCCAAATTCCTGATCCCCGAGTTACCGACTTTCCCCTCCAAAAATTTTCATAGGGCCGTACGTGGGGACCACGCGTATCTGGGCGCTGAATTTAAAACCTTTAAGTTGTATGTGGACTGGCAACATCCCTCGAAATTTCAGCTCCCCAGCTTTTCTGATCCTCGACTTATCGATTTTCCCGCCAAAAATTACATCTGCTCGTACGGTGTGCTCAGGTGTGCGTGAGGAGTGGTAGCAATTCTGGGGCGGCATTTGGCCGAGGAACCCACTGGCAAAATTTCAGCGCGGAAGCCTGTTTGGTTGGCAAGTCGAAACACCCGGACAGAAACACATAAACACGCGAACATACACACACACGCACACCATGGGTTATCATAGTGTGTGACACAGCCGATCTCATTCTTATGCGTTTTTGCATTTACATATGCTAAAGCATAAAAATAAGATCGACTTTGCCAAACACATTTGAATTGCAATGAAATTTACGCTAAATTAACAACACAAAAACTTGGATCAGAGAGAGAATAAGAATTTCGCGAATGCGAGTTACTGCATAGGGAGGGATGACTTAAATCAGGTACTGAACCTTAGTGTTTTTGGGAATCACATCCACGTTCGAGTCGTTCCGGTAAACCCAAAAATCCGAGATTCTGAATTTTTTGGACAG